GGCGAGATCATAATGAAATGGAGAAGAAGGAAACCAGTTTTTGTTTCTCATATGTAAAGCATAGAACGAACGTTACACAAAATATTTACCTGACTTTCAAATTGAGAGCTTTGTGGTGAGAGCCATGGAAGATGAGAATGATAAAATAAGAAAGATCTTTTTTTTTTTATTAATTTGTTGATTTTACGGCAGCAGCACCTCTATTGTATATGCTTTATACAAATGTTTATGCTATGATTGATCATAAAAACCAGAATAAAGTGGTTATTCTTGTCAATTTAAATGGAAAGTTAACGATCTATTTATATTTTCTATTATTGAGTGATTTAACTAATTGGAGAATTGGAAAGATGATCAGTAAGAACTCTTTAAATTGGTCCAAAAATGATAAGAAATTTTTTTGGAATTTGCATTTAAATGTCTACTTACTGAATAAACATTTAGAGTGAATTTAGTGAATAGATAAAGGCAGAAGAGAAATAACTGTTTAAATCGTAAGATTAAAATTCATTTAAAGGGATTAAGCCATGACTCATATGGTTTAACAGCAAGTTGTTTCTTTTAATATGTTTGATTACCTTCGAAGATATATTGCCTTAGTGCCTGTTATAATTTTCCAAAATAGTTTGATGTAATTAAGTGATTAGAATGAGAAATTTATTGACCCAGTTGAACCACGTCTTTAGAAGGTAAGGATTTATGATTCTCGTCAGACTCTTCATCATTGGATCTTACTATTGTAGGTATGGCTCGAAGAGCATATCGGTTGTAGATAGGCTCGCGTTGAAACTGGTTGTATGTGTAAATCGGATAGCCGAAGAGAGTCAAGTACCTCGATTACCGAGTGGCAGGGATCTAAGATCGAGTGTTCAGAGATCGCCTCTTTTGAGGTCGTTGGTTCGATTTCCATCGAACCCGACTTGTTTTCCATTAATATACACATATAGCAGTTATAGGGAGATCTACAACTATATTTCAGACTCTACTCAACTTCCAGGTATTATTCAGAAGCTCAATAATCATGCCTACCAATCAATTTAAATGATTGAGAGTTCAGCATGATTCCAGCTAAGTAAATTACCACTGTAAATTAACTGTATACATGGGCGTCAAGGACACAAACATTGCTCGGTTCAACATGCGACAGACATGATGTTGGCTATAATTTACCATACAAAAATTATTCGAATTATCGTTCAGGATCATGAAGTATCCAAAAATTATATTTACCTAACACCTTTGTGGATCGCTAAAGTAATTTTTTTGTGGTTAAATAAATTCGAACTGCTCAATTTAAAGAGTCTTCCTATGACATTGAATAGACATCTGATATTTAACTCAAATAATTCATATTTATAAACAAACAAAAAAGTGAAACCACAAAAAAAGAGAACTTAACATTTAAAAATCAATCTTTGATGCTCTTTTGTTCTTCAAATAATAGACATAGATCGAAACAAATAAAAATTGTTATGTCTTTTCTTCTTAAATCAATATGAATCGTGATGATGGCATGTCTTACATAATCCTCTTAAATATTTATGATTCTTGTATATAGATGAAGTCGTTCCTCAATAAAACAGGAGCATTAACTGTTAAAACTTCTTTCATATCGTTCACTTTTAAATTTATTAATACTTTGAGTATCGAAGGTTCACTAGTGATGGCTATCATAATTGTGAGGATGACTTCCATTTTTTGTCACAAGGATTATCAAACAAATTAATTAGAGTCGTTTAAAATGCTGTAAAACCTCAGACCCCCCCCCCCCTCCCCCCTCCCCTCATTTCATAGACGTCATTTATGAATTTATTTATGCTCTGCATAAAAGTCAACCAAGCTTTAACCTTGCAAGTACGAATTGAGTTTTGTAGCATAGCCGCTTATGCAAAACCACGACACTTTTGCCTCATTCACATGAAAAAGGAACTGGAAGATTCTCATGATCATAAAAGAATAATAATAATGCATATGTTGATGATGATGCTGCGTTGGACAATTGCATACTTAACAAGCAAAAAAAAAAGAGTCATGAAACATGTTTTGGACTGCCGATAAACTTGAATGAATTTCTTTTATTACTCACTTCCTTTGCTAAATGATGCTATCGAACTTTTTCTTATGTTATTCTCTTGTTCTTCATGTTGAATTTTTATATATTTTATGGATATACTCGCATATGTGTATTCAATAAATGAATGAATGAAGGAATAAAAAATAAATATTCAGCAAAACGGTAAAGTGACATGACACAGATTTTTTTTACTCGTATTTCCCTTCTACATTCCCAAGTGTCCAAAAATAATTTTTTTTTGTGCTTAAGATTTTTTTAATTACCTAAGTAGTTCAGTTTTGGGTAACCTTTATGGACATGATTTTATAAGAATTGGAAGTTGAATGTTGATTAGTGGAAATTTGTGAGTGACGTCATAAAGTAAAATTCATAGGGAACTAGTTATTTGAGGATGACTTTAGTAGTGGTATCTAGAAAAGTTATTTTAATTGATCTAAATTAGTCTTAGAAAACCTAGTCCGTGGCAACCTATTCTGAGACATCCTAGTCAAAGGACATTAGTCTGAAGACTTTTGTCCATGAGATCTTGCTATCAGCCCCTAACAGACAAAGAGCATGCTCACAATGAGTATGCTCACTTAAATGTACTGACTGAGTTAACTCGTGAGCACACTCAGCTAATATATTTTAGTGAGCATACTCATTGAGAGCATGCTCTTTGTCTGTTAGGGAGCTAGCTTAAGAAGATCTAAAGCAACGTTACACTAAGAATTCAGGTCAAAATTATCAAATAGACGTCATTTATGAATGACTCAAATAAATAATTTAAAAACTCCAGAACAACAAAGACAAAGACATTTTTTGGAAACAAGCTTTTTGAGTGACATGACATGCATACATATTGCAGCTCATTAATATTGCTCATTTAAGTTATATTATATCGAGTCCAAAATAATGTGACTGATATACGCTTTATGCTGCAAATTTAAATTATTCTACGGTACAAAATTATAGTTAACAGTTGTTTATGCATGCTAGAAACTGTAACAGTTGATTATGCATTAGAAAATTATTTTGCAGGCCGTTCCAACGACACTGATCCAGCTGAGAAATGTGAGAGAAGTAGAAACGTGTCAAATCAAGATTTTTTTTTTATCACAAATTCCAAAGTAGATGCAATGTTTATTTTATGGAAAAGCATGTTTGAGTTTTAAATTCCGGATTGTGGTTAAGTTGCTTTTGCATTCCGCATTTAGATTTTAAATAATTTAATTTTATCAATTTTCGCTTGTTTCGGATTTATTTTGATTGTGACTTAAAAATTCGATTTTAGTGACATTATCGCTTTATAGGCTTGCAAAAGCACTTTAATAACAAAGAAATTGGAGAATTTCAAAAGAATTCCAAATGACGCAAAATGACCAACAAATTCTTTATAAAAAATTATTTTCATGTCATTCATATCAGACGCACTTCTGTAAATTTTTCAAAATTGATTTCATCAGACATGAGTCAAGAAAAAAAAAACGTGGTAAAATGGCAAAAGTTGATAACCTAATTTATCAAAATGTCAAACATTTTCATGAATTTATCAGTTCAACATTACATCACTGGAAAGGCTCTCCTTAATTTCAATATGATTCACTTTTAGAAGTTCATCAAAGAATTATGTTACTTGTGATTCATATAAAGTGAAAAAATACATTGTTTTTGTTTGGTGGATGAAATTTTCAAGGAGTGATAACAATTTGGATAATTATTCAATAGTTTAAGAGTATTTGGCATTAGATCTGCATCATGCAACTTTCAAAAAAGTCTGTCTTATTTGCAAAACATAAGATTAAGCAAGCCATAGTGATTTATCAAAAATAAGGTAAATTAAATCATGATTGTCTGCCATTAATTCACAACTCTGCACAATTGTATGACCCAAGGTATATCAATCCAATGAGCCAAGCTACAATTTGAGTGATTACTGTTCAAACAAACAGAGTTTCAAAGCTAATATAGCAAATAGCACCTTAGTAAGGTCACTTTAGTAAGGTCACCTTAGTAACTAGAACTTAATGATATATAAATTTATATAGACAAGCTTAAAGCTTGCTTTAGACTATTTTTTACGGTTGTGGTTACCTAAGGACAACCAAATGTGACTGGAATTTCTCTGGAATCGAACTTGGAACCAATTTTTTGAAAAGGTGTGCCACATTTACTACAGCTTCTTTTTGCTATTGGATGTCGGATGGGATAGTGAAAATGATCAAAATCAAGTCACGTATAAACTCGGCATTAGTTTTAAATCTTCACAAAAACTCCAGAACTTCCTGTAATCAAACTTTGAAATCCCTCCTGTAGTTGATTGATAATTGAAGGATTTCAAGTGGAATTCAAAGTTTGATGGCAAGAAGTTCTGGTATTTTTTCGAGGATTAATCTTTAGTATATACGCCTTGGTTTTGATGAAAGATTCTGGGTTATAAAGCAATAGAATCAGTTTAAGAGACCATCTAATGGTGGCAATGGATCACAATTAATCTACATGGTCAGCAATGTAGGGAAGCATAAAAGCTTCAAGAGAGAGATGCAGCAATGTTTTAATGTAATTAACTTAATTAATAAATTCACAATATTGTCACCAAAATGTTTTCTAAGTTTTTGGCAATAAAACTCATGAATACTGGCATTGCTTCTCACATAAGTTTTTATCTCTCAACGATTTTCTAAAAATAGCATTAACAGAATTTCTAATCACATTATTGCCAAAATATAAATTACCCACCCTTGACCTAGTAACAAACTGAAAGCTCATTGATGACCAAACATGAATACATTCGCGATAAAACTCAATTGATCATTTATAGCATGTTGTAGCCAGAACTTGTAGCCTGTGTATTGTTATCATTATTTACTTATATTAGTTACGAATGAAGCTTCTGATAAACGAAAAAATTGTCTAATTAGTGCAAACATAAAAAGATAGAGGAAAAGTTGTCGTTTTTGTCAGTCAATATAAGAATTTTGTCAAGTGAACATTAAAAGTAAATTTTCCTGTGTTAAAAACAAAGAGCAAAATATAGACATAAAATAATGAATTTTATTAGATTTTTATTGGTTATAGCTGTGCAAGTTATTGTGATAAATTGTGAGTTTTTAAAAAGACATTATTTTAAACAATTCAGAAAAAATAATTATCTATAATTCTTGTAGCATATCCAACACCAACATTAAGAAAAGAAATCGATCAGTTCCAAAATGTGATAAATTTTCAAAGAATTACAGAAATAATTCGTGAATATTGGGAAAATGATCCAAACATTCAGGCACTTATAAAGTATCTGAAAGGTGATACATTCAAGTCTGCATGGAACATCCTAGCACAGTCAGAGGATGTCGATAATATTGTTGAATGGATGCATACACATGGCGTGGATATAGAAGAAATTGTAGAGAATTTATTCCAAGATATCATCACCATCCATCAATCATCGCTACAATTCGAACGGATAATTTTTGAACAATTTTCACTTACAACATTTGAGGATGAAATTAGGAATGAAATAAAATATGACGAAATGAATGCACTTATTGATAGCTACATAAATGATGGAAATGATTTTACTCATCTATATTTGATATTAAAAGTTAGTAAGCCAGCTTTAGAGCAGATTTTTATGAATAATGAAATTCAAAATGTGATGAATGATTTAAGACATTTAGGTCTTAATGTTGATTATCTGAAAATTATCGTTTATAATTTATTGAGATGGAATTCTTAATAAAATTGATTAATTTTTTTTTGTGACAATTTTTATACTCGAATTTATGACTTTTTTTAAATGTGTTCCTTTAATTGACATTTTATTTTTGTAATAAAATTGGCAACTGCGGAAAACAATACTCTGCAATCAACAACGTGTACTTGTTTATCAGTTCCGAGTTTCTAAAAACAACATTACAGATGGTGTGATGCCATGCGATGGGTCTAATTTGTTGGTTGATAATATTTTTTTTGCAGTGCAATGATTTTTCTGGAACATGTACTTTTATTAAGAATTATTAGGGGTTCTCGTTTTAAGAAGACTCGATTTGAACAGATTTTAATTGAACAGGATTTTTTATTTTTATTGCTCAATTTAACTCCTTAAATCGAAGACCGCCAGTAATTTAAAATAAAGGTGTCATCACAAATTGGCATGCAAACAGAAATAATAAGCAAATCCGACTGAAAGCTATTAATTAAAGCTAGTGGTCCAATTACAGTCAAGTTTTGCAGTTTAATAGATCAAATGATGTATCCTAAATAGCATAATTCGGTTAATTGAATCCGGCGCTATAGCCAGCGTGACTCATGTTGCTGGACTCAAATTTAATCCAGCACCATGCCAGAGTTTGGTGCTGGATTTCTATTTGATTAGCAGACTTGTGCTATTTGAGTAAACACATAAAGTGATGAACACACATCACCAAAAAGTCTGAGAAAACAGTCACTATGGTGCACTATATTTGGTATCCCGGGGTAGATAGCAACCTGTGATAAGGGGGCATCGGAAGGAAGTTTCCAGCTTATCGATAAAACCTAGAAGCCTTTCATGAGCATCTGTTGTCAGGAAGAATGGGATCAACCCTTTTAATAATATCTCAACCCCCCCACTTATCAAGGTATAAATAATAATTATATTACTGTTTTAGATGGTTAGTCAATATGTGATAAATCTTATATTCATTAAAACTATTCATCAAAAACGCCTTACAGGACGAAACGTTTCACATGAACCCCCCCCCCCCACTCTCGATTAAAATTCTACATTTTTCTAAGGGTTTTGAATGAAAAATCCAAAAACACCTATCAAAAATTTTTCACGTGCAAAAAATAAATAAAATCATTCCAATTGGCTTCATCACTGTTGTATGTTCTCTTAACCTCCATGCGCGTGGAAGTTTCCCTCTCAAATATATCTTTTATTCACATTTTATTCTCTCATAAAACTGAAAATTCGTCTGAAAATTACACATTTAAATGCCTATTTTCAATCAACACAACGTCACATGCCACGTTGATCTTCTTGATGCTGATAATGTACATTTTCAAACACATTTTCTTCTTTCCTCTGTCTTCTTTATTTTGATCATGTTTTTCGTGAAAATTTTTAAATTTTCTCTCTGCATTTTCTTCTCCGAGATACTTTTCATGATCCGTGATCTTCATTTTTCATCTGTGTGAAAATTCTCTCAGAAATGAAAGTCTCGCAGTTTTGTTCAATATTCCTCATTAAAACGTTAACCGTGATCGAATTGACTAATAGTGAAAGAAAAGAAGGAAGAAAAAATTTATTTTAAAAAAATGCGTCTAAAAATAGACATCCTTATCAGTTTTTATTAGTTTATAATTGATCCGAATATAATTTGTGTGAATTAATCGACTAGTTTAAGGCTCATTAAATAAGTGAAAAAATCGAAGAAAAAAATATTAAATAAGATTATTAAATCATTTGAAGTTTAAGGTTGAAATGGGAAATCAATCATCAAAGTCTCACAAAGATAAATACAAGAAAAATGTTCATTGGAAATCAGCGGGTAAAGGAATTTTTAATAAATTTTTAAAAATTTTCAGACAAAAAATGTCGAAAAAAATTTTTTTTTCCCGTCGAAATAAAAGAAGAAAAAGTTTTGCAGTTATTTTTAGCTCATTGAACGTTTTTTTAAGAAAAAAAAAGATTTCTTCTTTTTCTTCTTGCTTCTCCTTTCTGATCATTTATTGAACACAAAGATGAGATTTTCTCTCTCGTCAACTTTGCAGAACTTTGTTGACTTTTTCTCACTTTTGAGGATCTTATTTTTTTTGCGACAAACTCAAAAAATCAACTCTCTCAAAAAAGTCACTATAATGTCGTAGTATGAATAAACAAAAGAAATGTGGGGCATAGCTCAAAGATTAATTTAACAACCTATCGAGGATTATTAATCGAATATTAGTTTTGTGTCATGTGCCAGAATTTTTTTTCAAGGGGATAACAACATGATGTGGAAAAGTTTTGATTAAAATCCATCTTAATTTGTATCAACATCCTATTTCTGACTCACTGACTCTATAACGGAAGCCTTCTGAAAACATTCGTGAATTGAAAGTTTAAAAGCAAGACGAAGGCTTGAATTAAAGGATATGGTTGTTGGGGGGTTTTATGGAGGATCCAAGAGAAAGGAGAAGGCCTCAATCGTGATTTATTTATCTGTTTGAGAAAAATTAAAGTCCGATCAGGATTATTTAAAGATCTTTAAAGGAAGCAGAGTTTAAGGTATTGATTTTAAATTTCTTAATCGAAGAGGATGGGGGGGGGGGGGGGGAGGGAGGAGGGAAGACTATGATAGTTTACCTAAATAATGAGCATTCTAAGGACCTTTGAATATACTAGCTTCCTTTTACAATAAGACACTTCAAACAAACTTCCCATTTTTTTTTCGAAAATGGTTAAAAACATTTCCCATCATGCTGTTTTCCCCTTGATCTTTTTCGAAGATAATTGAGGCATACAAAAAAAATATGCAAATCGTTTTCCTTTGCCTTGCTGAATTTAGTCAAATAAATCACGAATTTTCTTTCTCACAGAATGTCCACAGGCACCAGGCAAGCCATATTTGCTACCCGGCTTGTCGACAGAAGAACCCGAAATAATGGTTACAATTAAGTGGCAACCACCAGCCGTTGATGGTGGTTCTGCTATTATGGGATACATTGTGGAGCACAAAAGAACGTATGTTACCTGATTCTACCTTAAAGGAAGTTCATTATTCACAATTATCCCTCTCTTTTCCATATTTAGTGGCTCACCAAATTGGGTTCGTGCAACTCCACAGTCTGTACAGTTTACAGAATTGTCAATAAGTGGTTTAGAGCCTGGCTGGAGATATCAGTTTCGCGTAATTGCAGAAAATGCCGTTGGATATTCACAACCGAGTGAACCGTCCGATCCATTAACAGTAACTTTGCAACGTAACTTAACTGCATTTACAGCACCGAGATTTTTATCAGAACTTGAAGATTTTAATGGAATTGAAAACGAGAAAGTTGAATTTAAAGTTAGATGTATTGGAACTCCATCAGCACAAATTTCATGGTTTAAAGATGGATTTGAAATTTTTAGTAGTCGACGTGCAAAAATTGTAACCGAAAACGATGCCAGTACATTAATATTTTATCAAGCATCATTGACCGATGAAGGTGAAATCAAATGTACGGCAACAAATCGAGCTGGATATGCTTTTACAAAAGCTCATTTAAGTATTGAGGCGCCACCAAAGATTCGATTGCCACGACAATATGAAGATGGTTTGATAATTGAAGCAGAAGAGGTAGTTCGATTGAAAGTTGGAATAGCTGGAAGGCCTGCACCGAGCATTGAATGGAGTCATAATGGCGAAATTATCACTTCCAGTGGTCGATACGAAATTACTAGTAATGATAAAAATTCAACGCTAAAAATTGCCAATACAAATCGAACTGACCGTGGAGAATATCATTTGAGGGCATTAAACTCTCTTGGTGAGGATTTTGCATCATTTTTAGTGACTGTCACGGCTCGTCCAACACCACCAGGCAAGATATCAACAAAACCAGTAACAAATAATATAGTTACACTTACATGGGCACCGCCTGAAGATGATGGTGGATGTAAAATTGGAAATTACATTGTTGAATATTTTCGCATTGGATGGAATGTTTGGCTTAAGGCTGCCACATGTCGCTCACTTGCAGTTACATTGAATGACTTGATATCTGGATCTGAGTATAAATTCCGTGTTAAAGCAGAAAATCCATATGGAGTTAGTGAACCGAGTGTAGAATCAGATGTTTTATTCATACCAGATGCTAAGCGTGGCATAACTGATCCAACAAGGAGCAAATCACAATCATTGCTTGGCATTAAAAGTGAAGTGTCACCAGTTGCACCAAGACGACGAAATCCATCACAATCACCAGCTAGATCAATGCTTACTGAACATAGTGAGCATAAAAAGCCATCGCCAATTCCACAAATTAAATTAAATACGAAAATATTTGACGACGATACAATAACACGAGACATGTCTTATGGAACATCTGATGATTTTTATAAATTTAAAGAAGTTCCGTCGACATCACTTCACGAAAAATCGGGGCTAGAGCAGCAGTCAAAAAGCCTCAAAGGTGTCAAAAATAACGTTAAGTTTGTGGATGAAGTTTTGCAGACGACACAAACAAAGACGATTGACGAGCCAATTTACGCAAATCTTCCAATAAAAGACAATGAAAAAGAGCCGAAAACATTATCAAAAGGTAGCAAGCAAAATGGTAATCGCACATATTTGGATCTCTCAAAAGCACGTGGTAGTGATGCACATAATAGTATACAAAATAGTAGTGAATTTATGTTGGTTTTATATGCCGATAAAGAGTCGAAGAATGACGCTAGTAAGTTAGAATTTGCACTTTTGTGTGTGATTTTTGAGTCACTTGTAGATAGTTCCAATTCCTTTTGACAATTTTTTAACGAAAACTTCATTTTAAATTCTAGAAAACGATTCATTTGAACTTGAGGATTATTTCGAACCACCAAAGCCACTCTCACAGTCAGCACCAGAATTAAATCAGATAATTCCAGATGGTCCGATCCTAAGACGTGCTGTAAGTTCAACAGAATTACTGTTTGAAAGAGCAATGGCAAGATTCTATAAAGCAGTTGAAATTGAGCAAACAGAAAATGCAAGAAAACGCAGCTTTAGTGTCGACGATGAAGGAAGACAGAGAAGTGTCAGTGTTGACCAAGAATCGAGACATTTAGAAATTCATGCAGATGCACAAGATACTGCATTGACGCATTTGAGAATCAATTCAATGACCGAGAGTGAAAAAATGAGTGTTTTAAGGAGACGATTGTCAGGCGATACACCCAACCTACATATTAATATTCCCAAACGCTTAGATTTAAATCGAGATGAAAGTTTTGACGAATTTGATCCGACTTATTTGAATACTTTAAGAAACGAAGATATTAATTCACCGGATATGTATAGCGATGAACGATCTCCATCACCATATTCAATGCCAAGAGCACAAGCTAACAATGATGAGGAGAAATTCAGCAGTGACTATTCAGAAAGTACTGAGTCGTCAAATGTAGAAGAGGAAGAGGATGAGGATGCATCACCACGTCGATCACGAAATCGTACAAATGACAAAGATACATATCATGCACGAATGCTCTCACCATATCGACAGCCACCAAAAGACGAAGCTGCTGAAGTACTTACGAAATTAAAATCACCACTTCCCGATCCTAATTTTATTCCAAAACCAATTCTTAAACGACCACAAAGTGCTGATGGCAGGAAACCTACTCCAATATTTCCAAAACTTGATCTTTTCAAAAGACGCTCACTGTCACCATCACCACCAGCAAATCGTACTCACAGAAAGAGCGTGGAAATTGATGAAAAACCTGTCATTATAGGACAGACTTCAAAGGAAGAAGTAAAGCCTAAAGTTGCTGAAGTTCCAGCAATTAAGAAAGAAGAATTGAAAGTTGAACGTAAATCACAAAAATCTCCATCACCAGTTCCACAAATTAAAATTGACAAGAAAGAATCACCACCAAAAACACAGCCACAGCCCCAAACTCAGACATCAAGTCAGCTACAAGATCAGAAAAATATTCAGACACAAAAACAAACATCACCACAACCTTTACCATTACCACAGTCAAAACAATTTCTACAGCCAGAAATTATTGAACCAGAAGAAGAAGAACAATTTGATCCTGAAATTCTCAAACGAGCTGAACAGACAAAACGAAAAATGCTCGAACGACGACAAAGTTCAATTGAGGAGAATAGAGTCATGGCTGATTTCTATGGTGATATCATTAAAACAGTCTCATTGCCATCAAAACCAAAAGTTCCAATTTATATGGATCCAGAAGCTCTAAAGAAGCTTGAGATGGAAGAAGAGCAACAAAATGATTCTGGTGTGATGTCAGCAGCAGAACTGTCACCTCAATCAACATTAAATCGACCATTATCTCCAAATCCGAACAGAAGTCCATCACCATACAGTCGAAGAGCTTCAGAATCAGGAAGACCACTTACCTTCTCTCCACCACCTGTTAGTTCCCCAGTTAAAGGAAGAAGAGCATCAGAAGCACCAAAACTTCAAGGAAAGCATACAGAACAATTTTCAAATCTTCCACTTAAAAACACAATGGACACATTTACATCAAATTACAATCGACTGGAACTAAACAAATCTCCATCGCCTCAAACGAATTCATTTAATAAAGCACCAACTGAACAGCAGCTTCCAATTTCACCACCCAAACCACCAATTATTGAAAATGAAGTAAGCTCAACTGATGAACGCGGGCGTGTTCCAACAAAATCATCAACTGGAACATTGCCAAAGAGAAGAAAGCAATCAAAATCGCGATCTCGAGACACTTCGATGATTCGTATGCCAGATATTCATCCGATATTGCCAAAATCACCTGTTGAACTTACGCAATCAGTCGCACCGATTACACGACGTATGAAGTCATCGTCTCGCACAAGAAATCGAAGTGAATCGAAATCCCCGACAGCAATGAATAGGAAGATTATAATCAATCGTATGGCACCGCCAGTGATCAAAAAAGCAACGACTCCATTATCACAATCACCAGTATCATCACGTGCAGTAACACCAAGTGAGTTTCAAGAAGAAGTTGATGCGAAAGTTAAATCGTCCATGACCCATGCAACAGACGTGTCAATTCTCGTATTTGCAACATACATTTATTTCTTCAAGAGCGCATTACTCGCATTGCCAATTTTAGTTCTCTTGATTTATCGACAAATTGCTGCAAAAATTCCCGATTGGATGAAAGGAAAGAAGAAAAAGAGTTAACGGTCTTGAAAAATTCAAATGTTGTTTTGTACTTTGAAAGGTTTGAGAACCGCTGGAAGCAGCTTTTTTTTTGTTCCTCACAATTTTTATTACATATTTGTTGGACAACTTTATGACTATTGCTGATTATCTGATAGAATTTCTGTTATAACTTACTTATTACTACTTATTGTATTTATTTATTGTTGCACTTTTTATTTCACTCTTGAAATATTCAAATTACAGTAAATGTTAAATAAAAAAAAATTAAAAAAATACAAAGTGACGTGGGTTTTATGGCATGCTGGTTTGATAGTTTGGTTTCAGATCTTATGACTGTATAGTCAGATTTAAGAGGAAGATAGGGCTTCTATTCGACCCTAGTAGCTCCATTAGATTTGTTGTAACTAGGTTTTGTAGTAATGATGCTTAACATAGCTTCTGGGGCTTGTTTTTATGAATAATTGAGGCACCCTACCCTGGTTACTGATAAAATATATCTATTCTCTATAATTCTAGTTCCTAATTTTAATTTCTTGAGAAGGGTGCACCATGTAGTCATTGAAAACAGCCTCTTACACTAAGTCAGTAAGCAGGTCTATGTAATAGATGATTTTAAGCCTACAAACTCTGTTCCGCCTCAAAAAATAAAATTTTTCATGATCAATAAAATCCACTTCTCCTGACATTCCTCCTCACACCCAAAAACGCAAAAACATGTAAAACTACAGTCAGAATAAATTGATACAAATAATCCTTATAAATATCAAATTCTGTTGTCCCAAATCCCATACTCTCCAGCACTTCTGTTCCATTTGCAAAGCATTGTATCTCTGGATTTGGATGGCACTTGAGCTTGTCAACTTGTGACCAGAATATTATCGATACAGTCTCATTAGCGTAGAAGAAGAAGGATATGTATTTAAGCAATGGAACAAACTTAACGTTTGTATACATTCCGGATACTAGAAGAAGCACCAAATCGACAATTCCTGACAGCTCAATTCCAACAAAAAAGGATGAAAAGATTCCCGACAAGAAGAATCCATAAGCCATTGAACAAAGACCAGCCAACATAATTGAAAATGCAATGCTTAAGAATATCATGAAGTCACTTCCGATATCTGTTGCAAAATAAATAATCGCCGCATACATAAATGTCTCGGTAATGATACGAGGAATCTGTTAGAAAAACAGGAGGTTAGCATAGCTAGCACAATGGAACGTGATCCACTTACCATTAAAAGCACGATAGTGACATAATATGCTGACAATGAGTATAATCGATTTCCAGTCTCTTTTCTCAGCAGTGGCAGCTCAACGTAAACTAATGTAAAAACAGCATAAACAAATGTGAAGAGAATCTCTGTTGCGAGGATAATTAAAAATCCCTTAATATCCTGAACTGATGATTCCGAATCAAGTGAGATGTTTGAATAGACACTCATTATCACCAACGAAAATATCTGTGGATATAGAATGAAGAATGAAAGACGAGCAAGTATAAATTGATGATATATAATTGCTTAATGCTTCTTGATGGGGAAGTATGGTAGCTGGTGAACAATATTAGTTTTACTTTGTGTAGCTTGAGACCTTGGATACTTTTTTTGCCCTTGATTGATGTCAAAGGATATTCTCGCTTTAATAAATCATATCAAAGTGCACATCATTTAACGTGAACACGCTATTAAGATGCTTGGAATGAATTTAAAAGCAGAAACTGTTCCTTATGATAATGAACACGAGAACTGATGATTCTTTCTTATGAAATGTCTTTTTAATGCATTTAAATTTAAATTTTCATCAAGTCATCATTGAGAAAATTTCAGAGATAAAGAAAATTGTGTGAAAATGAAAAATTCATCAGATTTGTAATTTATTCTTTAACTTGTGCAGTCTGTAATTTTTTTGAAGAGTTTTGATACTCCTTGTAAGGACGGAAGGTAAGGTTGTGAATTTAAATAAAAATATTAATGTTATTGCCAAGGAAGTGTCGTGTCAGAGAAATCTCATGTGAGCAAAATTTATCAACTGTGAATGTGATAACTCTGTTGCCAAGTGGTTAAGCAACAGATTAGAAGTCTTTTAAGACGACTCGGATTCAATTTCCATCAGACAAATTCACAAAGAGTTGTGGATATGGCATGAATTCGTAAAAAATCAATCTTTGAACAATCCTGATCAAATTCAAGACCAAAGGGATAGCATACTAAGGACCAAAGGGATAAGAACTAAACATTGAAAACTCTTTCAAAGGAACCAATACCTAATATACAACCCACTTGACTGTCGTTTCTACAGCTACTTAATGTATGTTGATCGAGATTGCAACAAGCAATCATCCAAAACTGCACCAAGAACTAAGTTTTAAGCAAGGCATGGAAACTCAGGATCAATCCTGAAAATCCCAAAATCCTTATAAACCGTAAGCCAGTAAACATGGAAATGTATAATGCCTTCTAAATCCCTGATGCTTTTGACGAATAAATTCGGGATTTAAAAGAGGCTTCACATTTTCATGTTTACTGGCTCAGGGATTTATTAAGATTTTTGGGATTTTCAGGATTAATCCTGAGTTTCCACGCCTTGGTTTTAAGTGTCATCACAAATTAATACTTACAAACAATATCAGCAACTCAATTAAATAATGATTTGGATATCTGACAAAATTCAGAATAGATCGATGAGCTATGACTTTGCATTGACAAAGCCAAGACAATCTTTCATCCTTTTCATTATCTAAGCTCATTTCGGAAGACGATGACGTGCAAAACTCATCAAACTCTTCTTCATAGTCCTCATAAATCTTTTCTTTCTTCTTTGATGTCACATAATTGACAATCTCTAAGCATTGTCTCGGATCGGAGATTGTATTGACATAAAACTCTGCGGGATTGTATCGTGTTGGACATATTTTATTCATACTATCAAATAATGTCTTAGCTTCATCAGCAGTTCCGTGAAAGACGACTCTTCCGGCATTCATGAGAATGATGTTGGTAAAAAGATGAAAAATATCGGAAGTAGGTTGATGAATTGAAAGCAAAACGATTCGCGAGGTGGATGGAGATGATAATTTTAATTCATTGTGGAATCCTGCAAGATCACGTAACGTATGTATAACGGATAAGGCACTGAAGCTGTCTAAGCCACTCGTACATTCATCAATAAAGAGAACTTGCGGTTTTGTAAGGAGCTGAAATGAGAAAATTCGGTTAGGTGAGTAAGGAACAAAAATTCAATTAATTTAATTCAATTTTACTTCGGTTGCCAAACTCAGTCGTCTCTTTTCGCCACCGGATAAATTTATCAGCTTTGTATCACCATTAAGGCTGAATTTTCTTAATGATTTTTGTATAAGATGCTGCTTTTCCATCCTCGTTATGTTTGGAAGTTTAAATTCAATCTACAAAAATTAAATCATAATTTTCTGCAACCTCATTGGCTGTATAGGCTTACCATAAAGTAAAAATGTTCACGAACTGTTATACCATCGAGAATTACGTCACTTTGTGGAAGAAATCCCGACATTTTCGTCATCCTTGTTCTATCAATGACTTCTCCATTGAATCGTATTTGACCTGATAATGTGCCGCCTCGTAATCTTTGAGAAAGTGCCGCAAGTAATGTTGTTTTGCCACAGCCACTGATAATAAAATGTATGTTAATTGTGCTGATTATTAATTGTGAATTTATGCACTTGAGGAATGTTGAGGATTGAATGGCATTTGAGTAAATTAGTCAACTGACATGCTTTAGCAACACAACAAGACAACAAAAACCAAAAAAAAAACGATACTTTCCACTCAAACACTTAAATAATTAAAATTCCATACCTTGCACCCAATATAGCTGTCAATGTCCCCGACTCCAACCGTCCTCTTACTATAATTTGATAATAATTATTGTCATTACTACGGCAACAAGACACGAAAATGATATAAATAATTTGTTTTTTTTTTGTTTATCAAAAGAAGGACAAACAAGTTATGCTACAAGAAGCACCGAAGTCTTGGAAGTGTCTTGATGATTTAATTTATTTGGCTTGTTTATTTGCCAATTTATCGCAGACATTAAACTGAAATTAATTTTCTTCAAATTATCTGAGGCTTTAAATTGCGTCAATCAATCAACATTTTTTGTAGGTAGAAAATTTCTTCATTTTTCAAGATGCTTAAAAATTGACGGAAACTGCTAATGTCTGAAATGTTAGACTAATTGAACAAAGTGTCGTCATAATTTACATTTACATAATTTTTTGTAGGTGAAGGTCACATAACTCAACCTTAAGGCTCGACACAAAAAATTTGTAACATGTGATGATAAGGTATGTAAAATAAAGTACGACTAAAATGTGACAGTCACTTGATTATATATATATTTCTTCTCTGATGTAGACCTGGAAAAAATGTAGAATTGTAGACATCTACATCGAATCTTTATGTAGACAGATTCTTTATGTAGAAATAATATTTGTGTAGATTAGATTTTCTATGTTCATATAGAATCGATCTTTATGAAGAAAGTTTCTTAGCTAGACAAAAACTATTGAAGAATCTACATTCTTCATCTAGTGTAGACATCTACATTTGCAACACTGCTGAGGAAGATAAATAATTAATTGCAAGTCACATACAAATTTAGATCGAACTTATAAAGGTGATTATTGCGCGCTCTTGTGAAGTATATGGGAAATGCCCAATTTGGAACAAAATTTTTTATGACGCAAAAAATTCTTTTTTTGATGATTTTTCGTAGGGTTCAAACTTAAGACTTCAGACTTGATCAAATATAAATCTTATAATGGTGATTTCTGGGCGCTCTTGTGAAGTATATGGCAAATGCCAAATTTAGAACAAAATTTTTTATTTGAAAAAATTTTTTATTTAAATTCTTTTTTTGATGATTTTTCGTAGGATTTAAACTTAAGCAGACTTGATCAAACATCAATCATATAATGGTGATTTCTGCGCGCTCTTGTGAAGTATATGGCAAATGCCAAATTTAGAACAAAATTTTTTATTTGAAAAAATTTTTTATTTAAATTCTTTTTTTGATGATTTTTCGTAGGATTCAAACTTAAGCAGACTTGATCAAACATCAATCATATAATGGTGATTTCTGCGCGCTCTTGTGAAGTATATGGCAAATGTCAAATTTAGAACAAAATTTTTTATGACGCAAAAAATTCTTTTTTGATGATTTTTCGTAGGATTCAACTTAAGCAGACTTGATCAAACATCAATCATATAATGGTGATTTCTGCGCGCTCTTGTGAAGTATATGGCAAATGCCAAATTTAGAACAAAATTTTTTATTTGAAAAAATTTTTTATTTAAATTCTTTTTTTGATGATTTTTCGTAGGATTCAAACTTAAGCAGACTTGATCAAACATCAATCATATAATGGTGATTTCTGGGCGCTCTTGTGAAGTATATGGCAAATGCCAAATTTAGAACAAAATTTTTTATTTGAAAAAATTTTTTATTTAAATTCTTTGTTTGATGATTTTTCGTAGGATTCAACTTAAGCAGACTTGATCAAATATCAATCTTATAATGGTGATTTCTGGGCGCTCTTGTCAAGTATATGGCAACTGCCAAATTTAGAACAAAATTTTTTATTTGAAAAAATTTTTATGATGCAAAATTTCTTTTTTTGATGATTTTTCGTAGGATTCGAACTTACGCAGACTTGATCAAATATCAATCTTATAATGGTGATTTCTGGGCGCTCTTGTGAAGTATATGGCAAATGCCAAATTTAGAACAAAATTTTTTATGACGCAAAAAATTTTTTATTTAAATTCTGTTTTTGATGATTTTTCCTAGGATTCAAACTTAAGCAGACTTTATCAATCATTTCACATGGTAATTTGCTATTAAATATCAAGTGTAATTTACTAGCAGTAAGTTGTTTTAATAATAACTAGTAAATTGCAAGTAGTAGAATAGAAAGACTAGCAATGTGCTTGTTTGTCTCGCTAGGGTATTTATACGGCAAAGTGTATTAGTTTTAGATTCTAAGGTAGAAAAAACTCCAGAAAGCATTAGAAACCGGCAATAAATACATCAGCTAAGGGATTAAATCTAATGGTTCCATTTTATGCTTTATAACTTAAAAATCTCTTTTGAGATTTAAGTTTTTAAACTCATTTAAATACAACAAGTCAGAATCAATCAATCAACACTTCAATAAAAAATTTAATGAGATTTTTACACTCTTTAAGGAATAATCTTAACTATTTGGAAGTACTGATAGTAAATTAGTCTGTCATGATTATTAAAACATTCTTTTCTTTCTACAGCAATTCCGATTTTCTATGTTTTGATAACAGACTTACTCGCATGTGATTTAAATTACAAAAGAATTTATTAAACAAAAGTTATCGCTGTCTCATCAAAACCTCTATGATGCTTGACTATTTACATAATTTCATTTCTCCTGAATTAATTTTTTGCATTATTAGCAAAGCTTTAAAAAAATTTAAAAATTTCACACTTATTTTAATCTCTAAAATGTAAATTTTACCATTGTCAAGGATCACAGTCTCTTGATTATACGTCGACATATTCAGGAATCCCGCGCGTTTTTTCTTCGTCACTGTAAAATTCAGTCGAAAGTCCAAAACATCTTCTCCGCTTGTGTACATTTTAAAATGCTATTGCTTCACTTCTTTATCAGAACCAAAATTTCTATTATCACAACTTGCTGGATTACTCAACAAGATTCTCTGTATTTAAGATTATTTTTCAACCTTATAATTTGTTTATCATCATTTAACTGTCTTAACTGATTATATATTCCTTTTTTTTGTCTTATCAGAATGAGTAACAGAATCACAATGATTTGACTAAATCACATGCTTGACTTCCAATTAGTCGAATTAATCGCGGCACAATGAAATAATTGATTACTTCGCATAAATTTAATTAATTGAGTAAAAATTGGAGCAACACGAAATAAAAATTGATAAGAAAGCCTTAACGACTGGTGATAATTTACGACTACTTTGCCGGTTCGAGATTGATAGACTAATGATGCTCTTCATCTCGTCAACGTTGTTATTTTTTTTCTCAAGAAAATGTGAGCAACTAGAATTGGGAAAAAGAGAGTCTGAAAATAAATTTGAGAGATGAATGAAATTCCCGAGAGATTTTTTCTACTGTTGCTTATTTTCTCACTTTTATGCTGCGGTGTGAAAACACTTCTTGCATACTGATAGCTATCACTAGCATTATTTTTGTATTTATGAATAGTTTTTTTTTACTTTGAGAGGATTTTCATTCTGTACGTTGATAGAGTTTATAATTTAATCTGTTAATAATTCAGGATTATTTTTGAGATTTTAATACCAACAAGTGTTTTTTTGATGCTGAAAAGTTTTTAAATACGGAAAGTTTTGATGTTTTGAATTTCAATTTATTTGCCAGGATTTGAAACTTATCAGCTTTTGTTTTATATTTGTAAAAACAAATTTTCATTGAACGGAAGAAAGTATTAGCATCTCTTGAAAAAGTTTTGTCCTGGGCGGAATGAAAAAGCCAAAAACCACTTAAAAAGAGTTTTAATTTTTTTAATTTTAATCTTAGCTTTAAAAACTCCTTCTAAGGCTCTGTTCCGACTTTTTTTCGAAAAAAGGGCTCTAAAGCTATGTGACACTTAAACAGCCTCTTAAAAATCATGAGAATAGAATTAGTGTACTTCAAATTAGTAGTCGTTTGCATATTAAGTAACGTTAAACATAGACATTTTCAAACCTCAACCCTCACCTAGGTTGTAATGAAATGCAAACAAATTTAATAACAAGTGCAATATAGCTTAGAACACCTTAGCGTTACCTAGGGGTGGCGAACAGAGCTATTACCGTTAAATTCGGAAAAATTTGAATGTATTTTTAAAATTCACTAACACTAACATAAAATATTCGAATGTAAACATTATAAATGTTTCATTGAAATTTGACTTAATTTCAACTAATTTTGTGTACAGGATATGATAAGTTGCTTAATGCAGCTTTAGTAATGATTAATGGATGCTTTAAAAAAGCTTTAAAGTATGATTTAATGAATAAATTGCAAAAAAATTCAAAAGTACAATTTTGTTTGTGTTAGTGTACCTTATGTTTCGAAATTCAAAATTTAAAAATTAACGGTAAAATAAGGTACCTTTCGAAATTCGTAATCGAAAAAAAAGGACCGCTCGCCACACCTTAGCGTTACAAATCCAAGAACAACGCCTTTAGAATTCACTGTTTCATTAAAAGCTTTTAAAACACCAAAAGTTAATAAGAACCCAGACATTATGTAAACTTAAACTATTAATCTGATCTAAATAGTGTCTAGTAAATGTCTAGAAGCATCGAAGATGAGATTTTTTTTAGGAACTTTGCCAAAAGAAGTGTCATTAAATGTCCCCATGCCTAGTAATTTTTTTGACATCATGTCAAGCGTTCTAATCGGGGATGCTTGATGTTACTTTTAATGTGAGAAGCTCTTGTCAAGATTATCTTAACCTAAAGCTGCATAAACAGCAACCAGTACGCTTCCCTTGAAAACTTTATTCTTCTAAATTATTTCAATATTATTTAAAATAGTTCCGAAAATTTATTCTGATTTAAACATATTTTTGGGTAGAATTTCCACTAGACACAACAACATCAAAAGCCTCAAAAATGCGATAATCAATTAATTTAATTAGGATCTTAATTGATTCTTCATATTTTCAGGATTGCCTCGAGATGAAAATTAATTTGCATTAAATCACGAGCTTCGTGAGAAAAATTTATTCGCGTTGGAGTTTAAATAATTGCGAATTCAATTAGTTGAAAATATGACCGAAAAAAATGGAAAATATTTAATATTGAAAAAGTCAGATGAAATAATGATGCTGAATCGCATAACATTATTAAAATTATATTGATTTAATGAATTCAGAATCTCATGAAATTTAAATCGAGATATTCATTGACCTAAATATTCTTTTATCTTTACGTATTCGATATTATTTTTCTGACTTCTTTTTTTTATGAAATTCAGCTTGATTCTTCCCTTTCTGCGTATCTTTAGAGTCTGATGTAAAATGCTGATTTGTTAACTTTTCCGATAAAATATTCACGTGCTTCATTTACCCCCTCGAAGTTATGCAACATATCATATAATAATAGAGAGATTTATCCTTACATTTTATGTGCTTTAATAAATTCTTTCAAAACGAGAACTAAATGCCGCATAATAGATTTTGGACACATGATGAAATTGATACAACATGTGACTTTCAGATTAATTAAAGGAAACGTGCAAATGCGCAATCAGAAGCTATAATTTGAGTCTCATGTCAGAAGTAACCCGTGCAAGAATGCGTAAGCAATGACGTAAATTTGAAATTTTTGATCTTTCAACTTTTTCCTATGATAATCAATGGTAATTATTGTAGAGCATCTATTTTATTTTTTTCTATGTGACAACAAGCACGTTTGCCAGGAAATATTTTTGTAATATTTATCAAACGTGCGAACAATATCACAAAGCATTAATTCCCACACACTAAATGATGTCCATCACTTGTTTTAGAATTCATCTTTGCTTATTATAATTTTTAATGATGAATTGAATTTACAATGATGCTTCGATAAAAATAAACAATGTTGCTTGCTCTACTGCAATGACGTTTAGTAATAAAGCTTGAAGATCACTACAAAAGATCTTAATTATGGTTTATAATTAGTTTAGTCGAAACTCTAGTTAATTTAATCTAATTTTAACATTTATTGTTATTTACTCGGAAGTAATCAAAAAAGCATGAACCGGAATATCACGTTATAAGCATAACAATGTTGCCACTTCTTTTCATGCCATAATATAATAATATTCAAAATTTTAAAACGCAAATGGTCTTAACATTTTTGTAAACATTTTAGCAATAAGCTTACCAGAAGGATGATAAAATATCCTTATGACAAGAACAGTAAAAAGAAAAATCAGTAAATACTTATGCATAAATAGGCTGTCGAACAGTTTTTCCCGATTTACGGTCAAAAAGGATATATCACGATTTCAGCTCTGAAAAAGCAAGATAGTCCAAATTTCAAGCATTTTCCAAAAAAAGGTTCAAAAAGCAAGTCATTGAGGATTTTAGGCGAGAGACTTTGTCCAAAAGTGCGCAGCTTATTCATAAATTTCTCATTTACATTCTCTTTGGCAGGCGAATAGCCAGGGAGGGGGGGGGGGATTTAGGGGACAAAGAAATTTCTTATTTTGCTTGTGTTTTTATGAAAAAATCACAAAAATACCCCCCACCCCCCTTAAATGTTTCCATACAAAACATTTTTTGGTCCCCCCTCTTCAAATTACTGGCTACGCCCCTGCCCTGTGGCTACGTCCTTGCAAAGTTTAATGTATTTAAAACGAATGATTAAGCTTCTGTGAATTCATACAGGCACAAAACATATTAAAGTTTTAACATTTTGCATGCAAAAACCTCCAAACACAGTACAAACATCCAGCATAAAATAAAATAACATTTTCTAAAACTTCCGTTCTTTATTAAAAATCATAAATTATATTTTTAAGTCACGATAAGCCTAATTACGATGATAAATGAACCAACAATATGTTATTAAAAGCTTATTATGAATTCACAAAGTAAGCTGTCTCCTTTTTGTGCTTTCACAGGAAAACATATCACACGAAGAGATAGATTTCATTTGTGCTCATCCGTCTATTCATCGTCTCTTAATTAATATTTTATTTCATTTTTTCGTACGTGATACACTTTGCGTCATAATGAATTAAATGAAAGCTAAACATTGTAAGATTCTTTCTTATATAAATTAATTCAATGGACTTCCTTCTTTTATTACGTCTTTTTTTTTTGTATGTAAAATGAATGAGGACGTACTCAAGGAAATGTACTGTTAAAGTGTTGGTGGAAACGTGACTGGAGCGCATATGTTGTGTTAATTATATATGCACATGTTGAATGTGGTCAGATGACTAGTTAAAGTTTTAGTTTACAAGAAAATTGTGTTGCTGATACTTAGTTTACTGACTTTTATGTAATTATCAGCTATTTTAGCAATGATATTTGAATTTTTATTATGAATGGTGTGGCATGACATGTGAACAGTAAAAGTTTAAAAGTCCACGCAAAACCTCAATCAACTTTTAAGAATTCGTTTCAATAAACCCAAAATTATATAAAATAGAATCATAACCTCAAAGTTGTTGAACCCACTTTAACTTTTACATAAATTATGACTTGATACGACTTGATTGTATGAAAAGTGCGTCTCCGTTTTTATAAACTTTATAAAACATTGTCACAAAATTATATGTGATATTAATTTAGTGCTTACATTGTAGTTTATAGCTTGCTAATAAAGCAAATAGAAGAGTGAATTCTTGACCTAACAAAAGATAAAAGTCCTTCAAGCCGACATCTTATACGTCTCATTTACAACGAGTATCGTATTAAAACTTATTGCTTTACTGAAACTTTATTCTTCTTTCTGGTAGGAGAAAAGTAAACATAAGCAGAAACAGGACTTAAAAGGAACAACGCTTGTAACTTTCTTATGTATTTATCATTTACTTTATTCTTATTTATGTAAGTATACAAATAAATAAGTCTATACAAAAAAGCTATTGTTTCTATAGAGCAATTTAATGAGCTTTCATAAGTATTAATATTTAATGATATCCATGGCAGCAGAATAACTTGGAGGCGTCTAAAAGCACCCTCGATTGAACCAATATTGAAATTGTGTCACATGAAATTCTAAAAATATCAATAAAAAAATTACAAAGAATTTTATATAATTTAAATGATATATTGCGCACTTATTACGGGGAATTGCTTTTTACATTGTCTTTAATTAATTAATGAGTTTCTGAGTTAATTTTTGTAGCATAATTACGAGCATTATTACAGCCAGTTAATGTAAACACCTGTGATTATCCAGTTTGTAAGAATAAATTATTGCTGTTAATCACAAAACCATCGCACCTGATCATATAAATTGATTAAAAAATTTTGATTATCTGAATTTAAATCTGATTAGCACCACTAAAGGCGTAGCCAAGAATTTGAACGGATTTTGTATGCAAAAACTTAAAAGAAGGAAGGAAGCGAGTGTTTTCTAAGGAATTTTTCATTAAAAATCCCACAAATCCCCTCTCTGGCTACATACCTGAGTACCACATGATGTCTTAGCATGAAAAAATTTTATTGCGAAGTTGGCTGAGGAGGTGGGATTTGTCTTTTAAACAGTTACCAAAATAGCCATAGTTTGACTGCCTACTGCTTTGATAATTGACTGCCTACATAAACTTACAAAACATAAATTTCACAACAGAAGTTGGTAGATATTAGGTTGGTGCACACAACTATCAATATATTGCAACAAATGACAAAAAAATTGTCTCATTTGATCCACAAATTATTGTTGAACTTTCCAAATGTTCTTCTATAAATGGTTTGCCTTTTTCACCTACAACTAAATTAAATTTAAGGTCAGTTGTCCTATATTTAATCTGATATGGCATGAGACAATGTAAATAGCATGTAATATCAGATCCTAAGGGGCCAATTAAAAATGTTATGAATTTATTTTTATGCAATACAATAAAATATTCCACACAATATGTGAATGACAATTTAATTACGTGAAAATATTGGGTAAAATGTTCATAAAAAATCATCCTGTATAGTTTTATAGTTCCCAAGGTTATAAAACAGCATGTTGAGGATGAAGTTGCATTTAACATCAGCAAATAAGAAAAATTTATGCATTCAAAATAAAAATTAGAGCATTTAGCTTACAGACATGAAGCGTCATGTGGTGTGCATAAATTTTGTCAGGCTTATCACGTCTGTATCAAGAGCTCACACTATTCTCATCACTTTTGGAAAGAGAATAATTTTTGGTGTCCTTTTAAAGGTGTTTGTTTCATCACTGAGATGTGGAGTCTTCAACATGTTCTGTAGAATAATCAACATATGCTTTCAAATTAAATTTCAAAAATTAATGCTGACGATCTACATAGACAGCTATCATTGCTGCTATATTAGTTTTATTAATAATGGTGGTTAGTGATTCTTAAAGGTGAATTAAAATTTCATAGAATATTTAAATTAATTTCATAGTTGTTAAACAGAGAGGATTTCATTGCTGGGACAGAAACACAAGTTTGTTACACCGCCATTGGATGGAATCCGCAAACGAAAAGACGCCCAGGTGCTCTAAAAGCTACCCGGCGTAGAACAGTGATGAAAGAATGTCAGCATAATGTTCAGATAGAGAATTTGCACAAACTATGTAAGTGACAAGGCCAGCAACAGAGTCAGATGGAAAACCTTTTGTTGTTACCTAAGCTCCACTTTGGAACATGGTTACAGTAAATAAACAGAAAAAAGAATAACACCGAGCAATGGATCCTGAGCGGTTCTCGAACCTAATTTTCTACAATTTCCGGTTCACATATATAAGTTACACTCTTTCTTGTCTCTGCTTTCTGCGCCTGATGATATAATTACCACAATTATAGTTCATTCAAAGGCTTTTATAAGTATTAAGGCTATCTGAGGCTAAGTCAAAAACTATTCGAATAGATTTTCAAGTTTTTGGATGAAAGAAATTTTTCGGGATCTCCCTTCTTCGTTAAAAATAGCTCACATATAGGACAAACTGGACAGGTTACTGGCAAATCAAATTAGGAGAATTGGAAGAGTTCATTCCGAATTAATCAACAAGATTCAAAAAAATTCAATGTAAAATTCACAAGAATTTGAAGGAACATGACAACAATTTGTGCTACATTGTTTCATTTGGACTTAAATTCATCTTTTCAAATTTGAAACCTTTTTTTTTTCTATTCTCAGAATTAATACTTGTGCTTGTAATCTCGATCCGAACAACATGGATCGTTCTGAGAATTTTTGTTTGAAATAATTACAGCTTATTCAAATGACAAGCAGTAGCATTTAAAAAAATTGGACAAGCATTTGTTAAAATAGGCCAAATGTGAGATATGAACGTGATTTGAATTTTGAGTTTCCATGCTTGAAATATTCTGAAAAAAAAAAATTTTCATTGAATATGCAAGAAATTATTGAATTCACCAGAAAAAAACATATTGTGAATCTGTTTGAAATGACACAATCAACAGAACGATAAAATGATTTTCATGTTGTTGTAAATTTCACCCTCCCATCTGAGCCTTTTGACAAGCTTTTCAATCTTCGACAATTTTCTTCATTCACTTGGCAACATTGATATTTACTCGATAATATTTTTTCTAGTCTATCAGTTCATTATAATGATAATAATAATCTCTTATGTGCTTATTTACATTTCTTGTGCCTGCTCAGCTAAAGTGATTTGGCAATGGTCTGCAAATAACACGAGGAACTCGAAATAAAAAAATTGTAAGCAAATACTTGAGAGCTGGATGTTTGATAACGATAATGTAACTAGCAACGCACAGTAAAATTCTCATCTTCTCAATATTTTTATTTTTTTTTCCTTTCCATTCTCTCGCTCTCTTCAAAAACTCACATTTTCCATGTTGCTCAGCGTCCTTTTATTCATACAAAAAAGAATATATTTATTTGAAGAACAAAACTGCTTGACTTTACTCTTGTATATAATCTAACGATTCTCACCGAAGAGCTTTCAGTTGAAATTGTAACAGCAAAGTTAAAAGATCTAGAAAAAAAAAAATAAATAAATCGGAAGTACAATTAAATGAGATGTCAGTGAAATGAATATCAAAAAAAATTATCAGGATATAATTAAGCAGGATTGAATTGTGTAAAGTGTCAAATTATAAAAAAAATTAAATTACAGTCATGGATAACTTTAGTGACTATATTAGTAATAGAAGTGCTGACGAGGACTTGGATTTTGTGCCATACTCAGCTCGCCTAGAAACATACTTAGTGCCAATATTATTTTCAGTAATTTTTATTGTTGGCATCATTGGAAATTGGACAGTGTGCATAATTTTTATTAAACATCCTTCGATGCGGAATGTTCCTAACACGTATGTAGACATGCGAATATTAAAGTGTCCCGACTGATACAAAAAATTGCCAAGAAGGAAGTGAAAAAGTTTTTATTGTTCTGTTCTGTTCTTTTACAGAAGCAGTTTATGTTGTCTTTCCTGACACAGAAGCTTAAATTAAATTTTAATTTCCGTGTTTTCTCGTGAGACATAAATGAAGTTTTATGACTTTCAATTTATGTGATGAGTTTCTGAAAGCTTTTTTGGTGTAGCTTCTCAATTTTATGCACTGTAAAGCAATAGAATCAACTTTGTGATATATTCTTAAGAAAATCTTGAAATGCACTCAACTATAAAAAAAATTGTATTCAATTTAGTACATAATGGAAGCATTAATCTGTGATAAACATTTTCATAAATTTTCTCAGACAGCACACATCTAGTTGTGCCAAGAAAATTTGTCTAGATTCTCAAGTTATTGAAAAAAGTGAAAGATTTTTTTTTCAATTTTATTCTTTATTGTAAGATTTATGTTTGGTTCTTGTAGCTGAACAAGACTCGGTAGAAATAAAGTAATGTAAAAGATAACTAGAAATGAGAATTCATATTAAATTTGCAACGATTATGGAAGGAAAATAAAGTTTTCTGAGTTATAAAATAACAAATTGTTGCTATTCAGACTTTAGGATTTATGGTTGCACATTTATGAAGAGTTGCAAATCTAGTGGTAGGGACTAAAGTTTCATCAGACCTCCTGCTCAAGGTTTAAGATGTTTTCAAGCTCATATATATTTAAATTGAAATATTAATGTGTCCAAATTGTCTAACGATGTACACCCATTCACGATTATGTTCTGATTAATTGTGATAAGTGAAGTTGAGTGTTCGAAAAGTCTTGAATTAAAAGAATGTCGAAGAAATTGAATCAATCAAAGTTTTTTATAATAAATATTCTAAATTCTAAATCAAAAAGTATCAGTATGAAATACTCAATCAATCAATATATAAATACGTATTACTATAGACTATAATTTAAACAAATGAAAACCATAAAAATTAAAAACAATGCAAAATTCTCAATTAATAATTTTTAAGAATCACGAGCCAAATTTGATATTGAATTAAAGTAAAGACCGTAAAGACTTAATAACAATAAATTTTACAGCGAAAATCTACAGAACATTATTAATATTTCAACAGAATTTGTTCATTTTCAATTATTTATTCATTTCCATCTGAAAATGTATAATGCAATCCAACAAATGTTTTGTTACACTGTCTGATATATTATATTTTCAAAATGCAAGCTAGAAAATAGCAGGAAAAGTTTATGACAATTACACGATAGAAAATCATTTTTCAATTCGCTATTTTTAAACTTTTTTGAAACAAATTTTTTATTGTGATTTTAACTCATTATAACGAGGTAAAACAATGAGATATAAAATGAAAGTTCTCATTCATTATAATTTTAATTGGTGTATCAAGGAAAACAATATAAAATCTGCTTTACAGACGAAGGGAAAAACTTTTTAAATGCTTTTTAAATTTGCATTGTAGGAAAACTCTTCAAAAATCAACTTTTTTCTTTTTCGATTGCATTAAAATTTTCTCATCAGTGAAATATACTTTTTTAAGAAGTCACTGATAACGTCTGGATTATGACAGAAATTTGTTAAACAACTAAGTGCATTATAACTTCTCTGCAGTTGAAAATTTATGTTCTTTCATACTTTAAGATGTATGTTCAGTTTTTGATTAATTCAGAGATGCTGCTACTCTAGTTATAAATATTTTGAACCTGTTTTCTAGGTCTACCCTTGGGTAGTCTACCCAGTATAGGGTTGAAATTAGGTGCTACAATATAGGAAACAAATGATATTGATTTGAGGTTAAAGTAGGGTGCCCTGGGTTGCCCTAGAAACCTAAACCTAACATACAAATTTCTATCTAACCACATTTCCCAAAAAACCTCTTCATTCACTTCAAATGAAAATTATTTTACGAAAAATAAGCAAAACTATTTTAATCGGATTATTATTTTTGAAACGTAATTAACATCGCGTTCAAAGCTTTTGTGTGTAAATTTACAAAAATTCACTTATTACGTAACGCTTTTAGGGGGAGGGGGGGGGGTCTAAGATTTTGTTACGATTCAAACAAGAAATTTTTTTTTTCATACAAATTTTGTTACGAGGGGGGGGGGGGGGGTCTAAGAAGTCATTTTTCCGCGTTACGTAATAAGTGAATAGCCCCATATAAATAAATTTTAATTAACTCAGTCATTTAAAATAAATATTATGAGGATTTACTTCAAATTTTTCGAATATTATTAATGAGCAGATACTACATTTTTATCAACAAAATTAATGAACAATTTAATAATTTTCATTATTTTGTTAAACTATTGGCATTTTATTCAGCCACTTGTGGTTAAATTTTGCATTAAATCATAATAATATGAACATTTTCGGAACTTTTCTTCCAAAAAACTTTTAAAGTCCATTTTTTTTAATAGCTTTCCTTGATTCCTCCAATTCAACAAATAAGCAAGATATATTTCACCTCCTAATCCAGACATAAAACGTCTGATTACCTCAATTCATAAATTCTTTCAAAAAGCTCACTCACAATACATAACACTTATGCTTTAGTAGTAAATTTATTATCCTGGCTTTGTTGACAACGTAAAGTGCTTGCTTGTTGTGAAGTGAACAAAGGATCCAAAAATGGAAGAAAAAAAAGTTTCACTTTAATATTGAAATGTGTTGAAAAAAGTTCGAGTCTAATGTAGGATGTTGTTCCTTTTTTCGTGTTTTTCTGTCAAATAAGCCTACTTGATACTGTGCAAATGTTTTGGCATGGGGCATTGGATTAAAAGTTGGAAGGACAAGTGTACGGTTGATATTGAGAATGAGAGTCTCAAGGGTAATAAATGTATCAAGGCATAGGTTTGATTATAACGCAGAAGCGTCATTGGAATTTTGACAGAAGAAGGATTCGAATCGTTTTTATTTGTGGCTTTACCGCTGATAATCAAAAAATTATTTATGGGCCCAAGAAAATTTGTCACATTTCAATACTTGATCTATAACGTGCGTCCATTACATGTCTATTTCAAGCAAGAGGAAAAGTTCAAAAATATGACAAGCATCTCCAGAGGACATAAAAGCTAGAAAAATGTCAAAATTCAAACGCAAAAAAATCATTTTTCTATTCAACATTCATTATCGACGTCTATGCACACTTCACACCATGAAACTCACTGTTGGGAGTTCAAAAAAATTTATGGAAATGATATAAATTCTTATCCTCATTATCCATAAAATGGATGCGTATGCTTTTGATTGAGATGTTGAAAAAAAAGTTGCGTGAATGGGATTTAGATGATGAGATGTAAAGAAAAAGTTTCGTCCCTTAAAAATACCTTCATCAAATTGCATTAAAGAATTCAATAAATTCTTATATTTTAAATAAATAAGTTATGACTCAAGTGGCAGAAGTTCACGAGAAAAAAAGATGATGACTGAATATTAAGAAGGTCAATTGCTGTGGTTTGGGATGCTTTTTGTGAAATAAATTGGTATTCAATTGCTAATGTCCTTTCAAGGAAATTCATTTTGAAGATATTAAATCTGTCTGTGGAATAAAAATGTTGACCATTTAAGTGCTGGAAGTGCAGTTGAATAATGAAAAATAGAATTACAACTAAAGTCAGACTTTGGCTTCTCGGATTATCAATTTCTATGGAATTGAACATTGATTTTTTTATGCAATAAAAGCTTATGATGCAAAGTGCAAAAGATAATTGCTTGGCATACTGAAGGCTTTATAAAAGGAAAGGTTTAACATTAAGATTATTCACTCTTAGGAACTTTAAGCTTTAAGCTTGTGATGAGAGCAATTTTAACAATCTCGAGGATTTAGTTCTTATCCAAGAGTATATCACGGTTTAATGCTTACCAAGCACACAACTAAAACTCATTCATAGATCGAACCATTGGCTTAGACCAGTGTTGTCTAAACTGTGAGCCTCGGCACACTGGTTTGCCGTAGAAATGTTTTGTAAATGACGCGAGCCGTATGCTGCGTACGACTTTGGTAATGGCTTACCTCAAAGGTGTGCCGTGGCTCAAAAAAATTCGACAACACTGGATTAGACCGAAGTCTTCAAGTAATTTTGCACCATTAATCAAACTTCATAAACATTATTGACGTCAAAATTACATCATAAAGACTTTACTCCAGATCCTAACTTCCTTTTTATGTCATTTGATATTAAGTTCAATTATTACATTTGTGTCACATGAATCCATTGTTGCTGCTTAATACTCTTTACGAGCATCATCTTCAACACATTGAGTGATAATTAGATTTTTCAGTTAAGCAAAATTTAATTAAATTTTATCGCTTTTCTACGACAACCTTGATTTTTTGAAAGATAAAATTTGAGCAGCATGAAGCACTGATTAGATTGTCATTGCTGTGTGACTTGATTTTTCAGAAAAGAATAAAGTAGAAGAAATATTTATTAAAATTTTAAGCTACGCATGAATGGCGTTGTGATATCCAAAATATTTTGGATTTGATTTAAATTCTTGACATTCAAATTAATGTCTGTGTTTTATTTTAATCTAAATCCTTTGAACGAGAATGATTATTTGAACAGAAAATATTGCTAAAAAAGTCACTCAAACGAGACATTTCTTATAGTCAAATTCGCAGACTTTCTCGTCAAAAATAGCTTACATCGCAATAACCACAAGACGATTAGACATTTTTCAATTGAATTTTGAAGAACTGTTGAGCTACGTAAAGCCTGCTGGATTAAATCAACTTGAATAATGGTGAAATTAAGCAGTGGGTGGAAGAAAAAAAATCAAATTTGCTTCAAAATCTCATTTAATGACATGCTTATGTTCATGACTCTGATCATTCATCCTTAACGTTAAATGTCAATTGTTTCCCATTTATTTTTGGAAGCAGAAATGAGAATTTTCATTCAATTAAGCAATAAAATTAAGGAATAAAGGATCCATTAAGTTATGAGGCCGTTCACTTATTACGTTACGCGAATTTCACCCCTTTTTTCACCCTCCCCCTCCCAAAGAAATGTTTTTGGTGTGAATTTGTAAACAATTTTTTTTAAGAGACAGACGACAGTTAGAACGTTACATACTTCATAACCTCCCCCCCCTCTATGTTACATTTTGTTACAATTCCCCCCCCCCCCCCCCCCCCTAAAATGCGAACGTAATAAGTAAACGGCCTCTATGGCCTTCAAGAACTTTACAAAATCTCTTCATTGTTGCCTTAAAATTCTCAAACTTTTTCTTCATAATCGACTTATTGTATCTTAATTAGAGTAATAAAACAATTAAAGTCTTCTTCCTCAACAAAAAGATGTTCACTCGATGACAGTAAGGGCTTAAATTATAATTTAGGATTTGGGGTGTATTTAGGGGGCTGTGGAATAGATGAGTTCTAAAATAGTCGTATTAAACAAGCCTAAGATTGGCATGGACAAGTTTTAATCGATTTTAGTATGAATGAAAATTGAAACTAGAATGACACAAAAGGATAAGACAATGGTGAGCATAGGAGCTCTTTTATATTGCGTAAAGTATGCCTTGAAACAAAAATATCCAAATGTACTCGTTTGGGGGTGATAAAGCACTAACAAATCTGCAAAAATCACAGCCATCACAAAAAAAAGGTTTCATGAATGTTGAAAATTATTCTCGGCTATAAACCAAATTGTGTTCCATCCGATGAAAATTGTTTTTAATTTTCCTTCACTTTGGTATTGAGGAGGGGATGCGACCTCCTTTTTAATGGAAAAATTCGTTGTCAATCAACATTGTGTCTCTATGAAAGAATTATTGCCGGTGAAGCTCTTGATGCTGAAAATGACAGCTGATTGAACTTTAATTGATTTTTTTTCTTTTTTAGAATTTTAATGTTGATATAAATTTAAAGGTCGATGAAAGTCTAGGCTGTCAATCTTGGTGGGTTTTGTAAGAACAATCCTAAATTTTTAATGAATCCAAAAAAGCGCATAAAACTAGATGAGGATTTTTCTGACAATTATCTGGCAACCCTATAAAATCTCATTTCCGTGAATTTTGATATTTTGGCCAGTCACAAACTTTTATTCTTTCCACAAAGTTTATTCCGAACATCACAAGTCGGTTAATCGAATAAAAATCCAGCACCATGCCAGGGTTACGCTTGATGACGGATTTTTATACGATTTTTGCGATTCGGGTAAACTTTTTGTACTGTTTATCAAGAAAAACAAGCTAACTGTATGCTCTACATGAGCATTATCTCAAGCATGCAACAAAAAACTTTTAAACTGAGAACTTTATACAAAATAATTATTTTTCAAATAAAAAACAAGATTGCACAAGAACTTGGATTAGTTCCAAACTTTCAAGTTCATTTATAGAGACAGCAAAAGTTTAGAGCTTAGTCAAGCCACGAAAATTTATGCGTTTATTGATTTTGGCAGTGTAATTAGGATTATGAAGATGGAATAGAGCAATATCAATGATTGTGGTAGTTAATTTTATGACTTTTCTAATAATAAATGAATTTGATTAATTCTAGGTAAACAATAACAAAAGGTAGTCTATAAATAAAATGTTGTTCATGAAGGTGTCTGTTTCAATATTAAAGTTAAGAATCGTTTTTTGATTACGTCTGAATTTCAAAGGAGCATTCACTATTGTCAGACAAAATTGAGTTTGAAAATCAAATTTCAATGATTTTTCCGGGGGGGGGGGGGGTGGATAGAGAGCAAAAATTGCTATGAAAAAAAACCCAAAAATGTTTACTCTGATGAAATTTCCAAGTACTCCACAAACGAAATTGAAAAAGTCAAATTTAAAGGAACTGAAGCATCAAAGTAAAAATTTTTGGATGTCAAAAGGTCTTAAATCATGATTCTCATCAGTTCCAATCAAAATTTCGGTCCTAAACTGCATCGGAAGGAAGTATTGAATAATACTATTGAATAATTTCATTTTTCGAAAATTTTTTGGTTTTTTTTTCATAGCAATTTTTGCTCTGACACCCCCCCCCCCCCTCTCCCACCCCCTGAATTTTTTCGATTTTTCCAAGGGTGTTGTTTTGATAAAATGACCAAAAATTGATCAACAATGACCAAAAATTATCAAAATGTAATTTTTCAGTTCCGCACTCTTGGATTTTTGTTCAAAACCTTAGCAACTTAGTGAAAATAGTTCGTCAAATTCGACTAATCCCCAACTGCACATTTATGTCTGCATTCCTGGAAAATCTAATTGAAGATTCACGATTGCCCTTGAATTGATCTCTAATCCATAACATAGACATAAAAGATACACGTCATATGTTGTGCATTTTGCCTAAAACAATCACGTTTGTCTGTACGAGTCGATAGAAATAGATTATCATGCTCATCATCTTTCGCATCACACCACAAGCAATAAACTTTAGTTCTATGCTTAACTTTTCTATTAAGAAAGTTTTATTTTTGAAATTGAGTGTTGAAATAGTTGTGAATGTTGATGAACTTTGCTTGCTGCTAATGAATTGAAGGATTATTTTCACGACATTTAAGACATCCTTTTTTGATGCTTGAAGACCTTTCTGTTGAAGGATTCATCCATTAAAAAAGTCATTCTCAAGAATTTCTTGATGATATTTTCGAAAACAGCTCCCAAATGACTTGAATGATTGCTCTTTTTATGATTCTCATCATCAACCCTTACACCTTTTTCCTTTAAAATTCTCGAAGAATTTCCTCCTACATTGCTATGCTGAAAATTAATTCATTTGCTTGAGTTAATTTCATTAAACTTTTTCACTTAAACATTATGTTTTACAAAGGGAAGCATCTAGTGCATGAAGATAAAGTAATTTTTGAGATTACTTCAAATAAAGGCAGACAACATTTCCTATTAAAAAATTCTTTTAAGCTACTTTTCATCTTCTTCTTGGATTTTTTCACATCCCCAAAAATAATTTTCACTTTTTAATTGAGCACTTTTCTAACAATTTGACCTTTTCATGTTTCAGATACATTTTCTCATTAGCATTTGGAGATCTTCTAGTAATTTTAATAGCTGTTCCTTGTGCCGGACTAATTTTCGTATACGATAGATGGCCGTGGGATGGTGAAATTGGAGAAATAATTTGTCGAGCAAGTGAATTCGCAAAAGATGTCTCAATTGGTGTATCGATTTTTACATTAGTAGCATTAGCATTTGACAGATACACAGGTATTGTTAACCCGTTGAAGAAATTGAGAGCCCGATCTAAGATGGTCATTGTCATTATTGGATTTATTTGGGTAATGGCAGTAATATTCGCATTGCCTGCAGTCATCGTATCAAAAGTATTAACGTCAAAAAATAATCAGAATGTTAAGTATTGTTGGCCTTTTGGAGACTATGGAAAAACTTATATCAAGTAAGGATAATTACTCTTGTTGTCAGTGTTGGGTATTGGATATTTGTGCTGGACTGGCGATATTTAAGTCGGGATGTGACAGTTATAATGGTCTTAGCTAGTTAAAATCTTAGTCAACGGTATCTGCAAATGTTAATCTAGAGTCTAGTAACTAGACATTATCAGAGTTTTACTATATCTAAGCTAGTCTAGGATGTTTAAATTTCTGTGGCTAGCTACTCTAGAAATTGGTTCAGGTTTGGGTAGGGTGTCTAAGCTAACTCTAGAAACCGGATCTTTATTTTAAGTAGACTGGCTAGCAAGGCTTCCAAGCTTTCCTATATCACTGCCCAGCTCCCACATTTTGTAAGTGTCACCTGATAATTTCCCGTAGCATTGTATGATTAAGACATTATTTCCACAAACATCTCATAATGTCCCTTACAGACACAAACATCCAAGTCAACAGCACTGACTATAATGACATTCAGACCGAAACGTTTAAGCTTATTTTAAAAATAAATATCCACAGGTATATAACGGTAATAAAGGCATCAATCTACTACTTCCTGCCACTCTCAATTATTGGCATTTTATACACACTAATGGCAAAACAGCTTCATACAAGTGCACGCGAAGTCCAAACAATAGCAGGCAATCAACTCAGAAATCCACAAGCACAAAATCGCAGGCACGTGGCTAGAATGGTGATTGTATTTATTTTGGGTAAGTTTTAATTTTCTCTTGATTATAGTGGTGGAACTTGACTGGATAATTGCGACTGAACGGCTCAAATTTAATTAGTAAAATTGACTGAATCGTGAAAAATAATTGGAGCAACAATGAAACGGAATTCAGAAGAATTCATTAAGCAGATAAAAGGAAGAATATTCAATTCAATGATTTATTGCGCAATTTGCTCATTACAAATGACTTTTATCCAATAAATGATAAATTGCTGAGCAAATTTGTTTAATAGATACAAAATATAATGGCACAAATTGTGGATGACTACGACATTTTTTTTATAGCTTTTCTACTTTGTGTGCTTATTGGGAATTTTTCGTTTTAATCTTATCAATTTTTTCTATGCTTTCTTAAGGCTCTTTGAGTGATCAAAATGTTCTTTAAGCTTCATTCGTTTAGAAACCACAAAAATGGAATCAAAAGATTATTTTTAAAGCCACAAAAAATCATGAACATGTATAATAAATCAAGTCTATCCCTTTTTTGTGGAGAATCAAAAGATTCAATTTCAAATTTTCGGGATATAAAAAAAAAGATGGGATGTAAAATTAAAATGGACATTCCGGAATATCAAAAAGGCATCCCTTTTTATTTGTGTGTCAATTTTTTTCTTTGAATATTTTTTTTACCAATTTGTTCGCAACCGGATTGAAAGATCTTGGAAACCTTTTCTTTTCTTCATATTTTAAAACGGTTTTATTCTTTTTTGAATTTGTTTAATATTATTAAGTTTTTTGAACTTTTTAAAAAATTTGATTTTTTGTGTAGTTTTTGAATATTTTTGATTTTTTTGAATTTTTTAAATTTTTTAAATTTTTTGGACTTATTTGAGTGTTTTTTGAATATTTTTGATTTTTTTGAATTTTTGAATCTTTTGAATTTTTTGAATTTTATGTACAAATCCCCCAACGTAAACAGAAATTTCTTTATTTTGCTAGGGTTTTTATGAAAAAAATCTGAAAAAATCACAAAAATACCCCCCCCCCCTTAAATTTTTGGTCCCCCCCTCTTCAAATTTCTGGCCACTCCCCTGTACAGATACATCTTATCCCTCATAAATCCAAAGAAAACAAGTGTATTGCTTCATTTGTTACATTTTTTGTAAATTTATGTGCATAACTTCCCTGACCATTGTGTGAATGATTGATATTGATTGTTACAATAATGTTTGAACACAGAGATTCCATAAATAATGAAGGGTAGATACTGTAAAGTAATTTATTCAATATTTAAACATCAGTAAGGAATTCAAGATATTTAAATTAATAAATTGAGATCCAGTTTCCTTCTACAGACTGAGGAATTTTTACTACGAATGTTTTGCATAAAATACTTGAGTCCTTAAATTTCTTAAAGAAATCTTTAAGAAGAATTCCTCTGCATCATAAATATGAAATTTTAAAGCCCTGAACAATTTGTTGAAAGATTCAAGTTTCTTTTTCTCTGAAGGGAAACAAAGATTTATCTATCATCAACAAAATATGAGCTTAAATGAAGACAGAAGGACATTTTTTGGGGTGCAATAAAAAAGCACATAAGAACTTAAGGAGAAGCAATAGAAATGAAAGAAAAAAAGAGAGAGTCATATTTCAAATTACTTGAGGCGAATTTAAGATAGCTTCATATTTATGATACCAACATGTGTCATATAAAAGCTCAGTACGTAAGTCCATAAAAAATCCTCAAAGAACAATATTTGATGGCACATATGACGACTATCTTATTAAAGATTCATTTTTTTGTTGTATTTTGTCTTTTTAATGAAAAAAGTTGGGATTTTGGGGACGTTAAGATTTGTATATGTACGCAGGGGTGTTGGGAGGGATTTTAACCTTCATAACTTAAGTTTAAAAGAATGTTTTATGCACCATACCCCCCCCCCTTTGAAGGAGGCTTCCTTTTCTTTTCTTGTGAATTGCAGTCTACGATCCTGCATTCACGGCTCAATCACTCAGTGAGAAATCTCGCTCATGCATTCATGCTTACCGATTTTTTCATCGATAATCCTCTTGGCAAAAATATTTGAATCTGTTCTTCAATTATTAGGACCCATGTGCAGATAAAGGTTAAGGAACTAAGAATGAATAAGAATAGAGAAGCATGAAGAGATAAATTACATTCAAATCTCTTTCCGCCATGACAGGAAATTGAATCAAAATATTCAGTTCAAATTCACTCATCCATAAAATTTCAAGTTCAATCTCCCATCACATATTCATAAATCTTATTTTCTTTTCATCACATTTAGTCTTCATAATCTGCTTCCTTCCCCACTGGATATTTCAACTGTGGTTTCAATTATCAGATGATGCAGAAGAGAACTACAACATGACATGGCACATCTTAAAGATAGCTGGATTCAGTTTATCGTAAGTGATATGCAGACCAGCTTGATAAAATGATATTGAACTTTATTTTCTTCTTCTTTGTGTCATTTCTATTCCACAGCTTCATCAACTCAACTGTGAATCCCTTAGCACTTTACTTTGTGTCGAGTCTCTTTCGAACTCACTTCCACAACTATTTGTGCTGTAAATCATATCCCGTCGAACACAACGTGTCATTTTGTCGAAATTTCTCAAAATATAAGTCACACGATGTCGTTAAGAATCCTGTCACAACCATCATCGATGCGACAGAGTATACGATTAACTGAGGACGGCTTCCACGATTTTGTCGTAGAAAGGATGTTGCGATTTAATGAGATAAGTTTTTAACAATAAAAAAAGTTTTATTTTTTGTTCAGATGCATACATAGATGTAGATATAAAGTAATAATAATAACAATAAATTCTATTTTTGTTCGCTAAATAAGTGACTTAAGAGATTTTTAGTAGAAAATTTAAGTATATATTTGCAGTGGGTTGGGCCTGAACGACTAAATTGTGATGATAACAAAACAAAATATGTAAAAAAAATTATTTAATGAATGTAAAAAAAAATCGAAATTTAGCATAAATGTTTTAATAAAAACAACTCTCAAGTCTTTCTGATTACTGTAAAGTCTTTTCTGTTTTTAAATAACCCATTTTGGTTTAGCTGAGCTTGCGGCAGTCATAAAAAGGATTTTTATCATTACTGTAAAAGCATAGAGCTTGAAGCTGTATGTATAAAACTTTTGAAACACAATAATGATGATTAAAATTGTTTTGCTCACTATAATAAAAAGTTTTATATTGTATCATCAGCAATCAAGGATGAAGCAAGGATTCTTTACTACAAATAACTAGTTTTACCAAGGCTAATACCTTTGACATCTACAAACTCAGACTTAAATCAAACAACTTTTAGTAAAGCTTCAAGAACAATTTAAAATTCTTAGAATCAATTTGTTTCCTAATAATAAATCACCTAATTGGTATTAAAAGAATAAATTGAAATTCATTTGATGAAAACATTCAACTCTAAGTAGGCCTCGTGTCATGAATATAATCATCATTTGTGAGAGGAAAAAAATAATATTTGTGCTTGTTTATTCAATTCTTTTCCATTTAATTTCATACTCAATCTGAAAATCAATATCTCGCAATTTATATCAAGTTGGTGCAAACAGGAACGATTCTTTCTTCAGTATCTAGAATGGAAAAAAATCAACAACAATAAATTTATTTTTCTACAAAAGATAAGCATTTATTGAATGGAGGAAACAGAAGCATTGGAATCGGAAACAGAAAAATATTTCCTGAGAAACATTTTCAAGATTTTATAGCTCTAAAAAATCTTTTGTATGTGATTTCTTCCGCATATAAATTTGTCATACATTATTGTGAATAGTTTTGTAGTTGAGATAACAAGTTTTTTTTTGGATTTCTACTTTTAAAATTTAGTAACAAGGATAGGATGCTGTGATTTTGATGATAATTCTAATCTAGATAAAGTATTCAGCGTTCAATAAACAAAGGAATTTCAGTTCTAATCTAGATAAAGTATTCAGCGTTCAATGAACAAAGGAATTCTAGTTCTAATCTAGATAAAGTATTCATCGTTCAATGTACATAGGAATTTCAGTTCTAATCTAGATAAAGTATTCAGCGTTCAATGTACAAAAGAAATTCAGTTCTAATCTAGATAAAGTAATCAGCGTTCAATGAACAAAGAAATTTCAGTTCTAATATAGATAAAGTATTCAGCGTTCAATGTACAAAAGAAGTTCAGTTCTAATCTAGATAAAGTATTCAGCGTTCAATGAACAAAGAAATTTCAGTTCTAATCTAGATAAAGTATTCAGCGTTCAATGAACAAAGGAATTCTAGTTCTAATCTAGATAAAGTATTCATCGTTCAATGTACAAAAGAAATTCAGTTCTAATCTAGATAAAGTATTCAGCGTTCAATGAACAAAGAAATTTCAGTTCTAATATAGATAAAGTATTCAGCGTTCAATGTACAAAGGAATTTCAGTTCTAATATAGATAAAGTATTCATCGTTCAATGTACAAAAGAAATTCAGTTCTAATCTAGATAAAGTATTCAGCGTTCAATGAACAAAGAAATTTCAGTTCTAATATAGATAAAGTATTCAGCGTTCAATGTACAAAAGAAGTTCAGTTCTAATCTAGATAAAGTATTCAGCGTTCAATGAACAAAGAAATTTCAGTTCTAATATAGATAAAGTATTCAGCGTTCAATGAACCAAGAAATTTCAGTTCTAATATAGATAAAGTATTCAGCGTTTAATGAACAAAGGAATTTCAGTTCTAATATAGATAAAGTATTCATCGTTCAATGTACAAAGGAAATTCAGTTCTAATCTAGATAAAGTATTCAGCGTTTAATGAACAAAGAAATTTCAGTTCTAATATAGATAAAGTATTCAGCGTTCAATGAACAAAGAAATTTCAGTTCTTAAATAGATAAAGTATTCAGCGTTCAATGTACAAAAGAAGTTCAGTTCTAATCTAGATAAAGTATTCAGCGTTCAATGAACAAAGAAATTTCAGTTCTAATCTAGATAAAGTATTCAGCGTTCAATGAACAAAGGAATTTCAGTTCTAATTTAGATAAAGTATTCATCGTTCAATGTACAAAAGAAATTCAGTTCTAATCTAGATAAAGTATTCAGCGTTCAATGAACAAAGAAATTTCAGTTCTAATATAGATAAAGTATTCAGCGTTCAATGTACAAAGGAATTTCAGTTCTAATATAGATAAAGTATTCATCGTTCAATGTACAAAAGAAATTCAGTTCTAATCTAGATAAAGTATTCAGCGTTCAATGAACAAAGAAATTTCAGTTCTAATATAGATAAAGTATTCAGCGTTCAATGTACAAAAGAAGTTCAGTTCTAATCTAGATAAAGTATTCAGCGTTCAATGAACAAAGAAATTTCAGTTCTAATATAGATAAAGTATTCAGCGTTCAATGAACCAAGAAATTTCAGTTCTAATATAGATAAAGTATTCAGCGTTTAATGAACAAAGGAATTTCAGTTCTAATATAGATAAAGTATTCATCGTTCAATGTACAAAGGAAATTCAGTTCTAATCTAGATAAAGTATTCAGCGTTTAATGAACAAAGAAATTTCAGTTCTAATATAGATAAAGTATTCAGCGTTCAATGAACAAAGAAATTTCAGTTCTTAAATAGATAAAGTATTCATCGTCCAATGTACAAAAGAAATTCAGTTCTAATCTAGATAAAGTATTCAGCGTTCAATGAACAAAGAAATTTCAGTTCTAATATAGATAAAGTATTCAGCGTTCAATGTACAAAAGAAGTTCAGTTCTAATCTAGATAAAGTATTCAGCGTTCAATGAACAAAGAAATTTCAGTTCTAATATATATAAAGTATTCATCGTTCAATGTACAAAGGAAATTTAGTTCTAATCTAGATAAAGTATTCAGCGTTTAATGAACAAAGAAATTTCAGTTCTAATCTAGATAAAGTATTCATCGTTCAATGAACAAAGAAATTTCAGTTCTAATCTAGATAAAGTATTCATCGTTCAATGGACAAAAGAAATTCAGTTCTAATCTAGATAAAGTATTCATCGTTCAATGTACAAAGGAAATTCAGTTCTAATCTAGATAAAGTATTCATCGTTCAATGTACAAAGGAAATTCAGTTCTAATCTAGATAAAGTATTCAGCGTTAATGATTTAATAGTTGATTCAATTAAAATTATTAATATTTCTAAATTTTTGTTTTCCAAAAAAACCATTCCGAAAAAATTCCGACTCAACTAATTTTTTTTCAAGAAAAAATGGTCTGCCATTCTGGTTCATTTCCTATTTAGCTTATTATACAAGCTCCCCAACTTTTTGCAATCACATAACACAAAAGGATCATAATCACACACAAAGGTTTTATTTCATAACTTGAACAAAAAAGCTCTTTTTTGCCTCACTTACCCCCGGTTATACAACAAACTTCCTACATGTTCAGCACCCTTTAACTTCCTTCAGAATTTAAAGAATCTATTTTGAGGCTGTTGAACATTCGATTTGACATTTTAGATGAAAAATTCTCAAGCATCATAATAAAATCATATCTGAGAGAAGCTTTCAATGTATTTAAAGAACATTCTCAATGAGAGCAGTTCCTCTTTTCATTAAAAAGGTTTGTTGACACTTTACATTAATATTAAGGATTCCCATTCAGTCTGTATGAATGCTTAAATTGAAAGATAAGGATTAACAGACAATGCAGCATGTTGATGTTTATGGAAGGTACATACTGAATATGACTTTATGGATGAGTTGACGTAGAACATAGAAGTTAAGTGAAAGAATAAATTGAATGACTGCAAAACTAAGATGCTTTAAAAGGTTCGCTGCTTCTTTAAACCAAACCACATTACCATGTGGATTTTTCAGCATCATTTTAAGATCCAAAACAGATTCTCGTGTTGAAATTTATATTTTATATTTTGACACATTGTGCGTATGTTATGTATGCAATTTTTGTGATTAATATTGTACACACGTGAAAGATTTTGAACAGGAACTAAACACATTATTCATTGGAGCTGTCAGATGTAGACACCTGAAACAAAAGGTTTTTTTTTGGAAACGAGAACTTTTATAAAACGGATGTTTGGATATGGTGAAATGTTTTAAGATGAATCTTGAGTTGTGGAATCAGATTTTGACTTATTTCAGTCGTGTTATAGATATGGAACCTGAATTTAAGTATCAAATATCAATAAAATCGATTGATTTTAAATACAGAATAACATTTCACCCACAATTTGTTTTTCATTTTTTTTCAGGTTCTTAGAAAATTGTCTTCTGCATAAATCTCCATAATCTTCAATAGAAATATTTGTAGAATCCGTCTACATTGCTGGATCTCCATAAAAATCCTTGTAGCATTTTCATTTTTCATTGAATATAAACCACAATGTTCTTATTTGCTATAAAAACACCAAAATCCTCCTTCACATCCACGTCAATATCTTGTATCATCAGATTCTTTTAAGTCTGATTCCAGTTTATTTTAAAAATAAAGAATAAAAAATTGTTAGAAATTTCGCAAAGATATTAAACATAAGCAGATGAATGGAAATTTTTCTTTTGAAAGTACGAAGGATGTTGACTGAAATCGATATTCCTTTTCCTCCCTTATAAAGCACCATGAACAAGATACTTGATATAAAATCACAGCATATACATTTCAATGTAAAGAAGATGCAACAAGTGTTTTTAAAAAGAGAGAGTATGTACGCTGTAGCTGGAAAGTAAGCTTTGAATCAAAAAGAAGCAAATTTTATATTCATGTGAAATGCAAATTTATTGAAATTGTAGCAGGAAATTTTTCTCTTTGAAGATAAATC